AATATTTGAAGTAGAATATCAAACTCCATGTTGTTACGACTTCGTGTCAAACGTACTTATTGAACCCATAACTCAAACGCGCGTGGTGGAAAGTATATCATTTCTGTGCTGAGCCATGTGATACTATGTGTTTTAGACAGCCATGCAGCACCACACTGCATGGTCTATAGCCAACAGCATGCACAAGCACGTGTAATATGCGTGTTCTCAACCTGACCTGTTGGCTGATGTATAGTGTTGGACGACAGTGTACACTTCAGACACCTGTTTGAATTGCACTGTGCAGTTCCACCATGTGTTGCAAGGTGACGTTTCATTGCTCACGTCTTTTTGCGCCATGGACCCTAACTCGCCCCCTCTTTATGACGTTTCTCGCATGAATAACCTTGATCATGTAATGCAGAGGAAATAAGCAAATTCACCGTTCAGATATTGCCTATTCCTGTGTGTGTCTGTGTCTGTGTCCACATGGCCCCGTAGATCAGGTTGTTATAGATATGGTTGGGTTCTGTCACAGAGAGAGATCTGGTAGAACACTATGCATGATGTGTTTTATTTGTCCTTACATGACCTTCTTGACAGTCAGCTAACAGTTGGTGTTAATTGTTTCCCTTGCACGATAAAAAAATACTTGCATACACCATGGTGAATGAGAAGAGGACCCAGTCACCATCACGCAAGATCTAGATATTTCATATAGATATGGTTGGGTTCTGTCACAGAGGGAGATCTGTTCTGTCACAGAGGGAGATCTGTCACCGAATTCTTTTTTTTTTCCTTCTTCAGGTTTACGACCGGCTTGACAGAAACTGCTGCGGGTTCCAGCCGACAGAACAGGACAAGTGCCTAACGGACGGACGTAACGCAGACTGTGACAACCCGGACCGTGCGGCACCGCTGATGCTGGTGCACATCTTCAGCAGCGGGAGGCACCCCACCCGCCTGGTGTTCCTGGACAACGCCGGGGTTCCGGAACGGAGGGAGGACAACCTGGACTTCCGACTGCTTACTGGGATCGACGAGTAAGTACTCGTATCTGTATCTGTATCTGTATCTGTATAGCCGGTAATCCGTAAAACCGTAATCTCCAAGCAGATCCCTCTCGGTGGCAAAAAGACAGTGTCAAATTGGCCAGGCAGTAATCCATTAGCCAGAGAAGCTCCTTTACTTGACTTGTTACTACCGTGGCCGACAAGGACAAACCTGCGTCGCCTGCGTCGCCTGCGCGCACACCTGCGTCGCCTGCGCGTATACCTGCGTCATGTCTGCAAAGAGCTTCCTCGTCTGCGCACGACTACCTGCGTCGTGTTTGCCAAGAGCTTCCTCACGCCTGCACAGAAAGAGCTTCCTCGTCTGCGCACGAATACCTGCGTCGTGCCTGCCAAGAGCTTCCTCACGCCTGCACAGAAAGAGATTCCTCGGCGACCTCGCTGCGCGCAACGAAAGCTCGCTGCACGGAAGAATACGTGTCACCCCTGCCTTGTTGAAGAATGGACGGTCCCCTATTATAGGTCAAGGGTCACATCCACCTAAAACAATTTTATTCCCGTCTTTTTCTGGGATTTTGTTGTGTCTGTCCCGTAATAAAATCACTTTTATTTTTATTCAACGTGTTTAAAATCATTTATTGCAATAGTGACGTGTTTATTAA